TAAGCGGTTGGGCTGTTGTTTTGTCTCGCAGCACCGCTAACTCTCTTCAGAAGGTTGTTGAGTGTTTTATGAATGCATGTCTTCAGAAGAAGCCTCTCATTTACAAATAGGAATTGCAAGCTGTTATTGTAATGTCCCTCACGACCGATATAACCAGTAATTTCGAACTGCTCATGGACGTAATTGACCTCTCTGAGCTTTTGGGCTCGATTCAAGCCATGAATCTGCACAAACCTGTAATAGGTATTGCTTGTTTTAGAGAGCTGCACCATCATGTGAGCCGAATTTTCTTTTTTCACTGTGAATGACACAGATGGGTGCATCAGAGATATGGCCTCCACTCTCTGACGGATGCGTTCGATTTCTAAAACAGCATCCATTCTCTTTCTTCGGACTGGCATGTTGTGGAAGAGATTGTAGACGGACACGGTCGTCCCTGCAGAGGGACGAACAGTTTGAGCTTCTAAAACATCCGACGCACTTGCTTCATTAAAGTTTTAACGTATGTTTTTCACAGACAGCAGTCTATGTTCACCGAATGACAATTCAACCATTTCTGCAAGGGAGACAATACTGGCAATCGCTTCCCCTCTGAACCCATAAAATCTGAGATTATCCAGATCCTCCAGCGAGCTGCATTTGCTAGTGTTGTATCGGTATCCACTCTCTCCATGTCCTCCTGGCACATCCCTGAGCCATTGTCGATCACCTGCAGCTTGCAGGCTTCTATGTCTATTTTGACCGCCACACAAGTTGCTCCGGCATCAATGCTGTTCAATAGGAGCTCCTCCACATTGTTGCAATGAGAAAATAGCAATACCAGAGCGCAGCTTTGCTTGAACATCTTGGGCAAACTCTTGATCATTCTGAAAAACATAAATGTTAAAAAAATTGAATGCACAGAGATGAAAACGTTAACTTAAATATGTATCAAAAATGTAAATAATGACGCACATAAGATAAGTATAATTATCTTTTCATTTGAAATAATAATCAACTAATACACGTCTATACCTCTTTGGTGGGTTGTTGTGAGATGTTATTTGTGACTGAACGTGCAGAAAACAAGCCGTCTGTCAGTTTTGCCAGCTTTGACGGTTGCCATGTAACAACACCGGTAAGTTTGCTAACTGTCGTATATGCATTTAGGTTCTAAAACAATTACGGTTTCCTTACCCGCTCAATTTAATACGTGGTTTCTACAACTTGTAATAAAAAATATCGTTTGTATGGCATTTCATTCGTTAACTTGTTTAAGTACAACCATTATTTCTGTTATGGGTTCCACTTCCACTCACAACAACGTGAACTGCAGCGGAAATGACGTGTGGGATCATGAGCAGCAGGGTGAAGCAAGCGACCGTAAACTTGGCAACAGCTTACTAGTGCAGATGTCATGAATAAGAATAAAATACTTCACAACACCAATATATATTAATTTAACCTTCATTCATTATACAAGTTGTATAAAAAAAATCGTAAAAAGTACCATAGTTATTTTTTGTGTTTTTGCAGAACCATATTTTTATAGGTAAAGCTAATATAAATTATAAATAATTGATAAATTAAAGCTAAAATAAATTATATATATATATATCATATACTATACTGTTTCATGTAGCCTACTTAAAACCACGTTGCATGTAAGCTATAATCAATGTTTAGCTGCTTTTAAATCAAAGAGACTGAGAAATTGACAGAAAGGAAATAATAAAGTTTTTTCACTAACAAAGTCTCTAACATCCAGTGTATTGTTATTATTTATGTTATATCCCTCTATCTTCTAATGAAACTCGAAAAAAACAATGCACTCAGTGAACATTATGGGGCCAATAAATAATCTAAATCGATGTGATAAATAAGCTTGTTTTGTGCTTGATATGAGGTTTGCAAAGAAAAAAACAGTTGCAAAAATATATACAAAATAATCTAAACATTATTGAGCATGATAAATTGGAGTATTTTCAGATTTTCTATAAAACTAGAAAACTAATTTATTTGAGAGAGAGAGAGAGAGAGAGAGAGAGAGAGAGAGAGAGAGAGAGAGAGAGAGAGAGAGAGAGAGAGAGAGAGAGAGAGAGAGAGAGAGAGTTTGGTGTCAGCAGTAAATCTTTACTGTGCTGCTCTCCAGGGTGCTGAAATGCGTTACTGCTGAAAGTGGGGGACATAGTGGCATGTTCTCGGTGACCTTCACAGATAAAGATGTGTCATCATTTATCAGTATATTATGAATTGGTATGATTTATAATGAAAACTAAAAATAGCGCAAGTTTTGCATAAAAACCTCGTTGAAAACGTCACCGATGCATTTTCCCTTCTCACAGCATTTATTGTTCAACGCAAAGGATTAATCTCTGCATTACTGCGCGCTCTTTGAAAGAAACTGAAGTGCATCGAAATTGAGTTAAAGCCTGACTTAAAGCCTGAATTCCTGCCAAGTCAGTCAGTGTTGTGTTTTGTATCTCGTCGGTCAAGGTCCTTTCTTCAAATGTGTTAGTTAACGTGCAAAGCCTTTGGAACATGAGGTGGGAAACAGAAGCTGAACAATCCTCTGAGCTAAAAGAAATGGCGCAATATGAACTGCAGAGCGCGTGAGGGGGCGTGAGGATGTGTTGGTAAAACTACACGCTCCTTGGGGGATGGCTGTCCTATATAATGTAGTGCATTTCATTAATTGAAAAACATCAGCCATGTTTTTTACGGGAAAAGTGAATTAGTCAAGAGTCTTCTACCACTCCCCACCCAAACCCCCTCTCCGTCTCTCCCCCACCTCTCTCACGCGCACAAACGCTCACGCACCGCCACGAGATAGAGAAGAAACGCTCCTGGCTGCTGTGGATCAAACAGCAAGATTTAAAACTGTGTTGGCACATTCTGCATATAAACCCAAATGGATATTAAGAAAGAAGGATCTGGTCGTATGGTGGCTTGAAGAAGCTACTTTATCAACAGAAACCTACAGTGTGTGGCAAGCTATATTTAACACTTATTCCTTAAAACTAGTTGAAAAAATAAATCTGCATGGTTAATGCTTTTGATCTTTCATTTAAAAAATGTGCAAAAATCTAACTTTTCATTGAAATAAAAGAATTGAATTGAAGGTGAGGGTGAGTGTGTATGTGTGTGTGGGGGGCAAGGGAACATAAAATTGTAGCTAGCTGCTTCTTGTTTCACAGGTGTTTAAATATGAAAGAAAGATAAAGGCCAAATTCACTCATTCATTCCATCATAATGAGTAAAATCAAATAATTTAGTTTGAGGGGTTTCAAGAAAAAAATCCTCCTTGGTCCTCCAAAAATAAACCCCAGCATATTCAGTTGTCAGACACGACTGGAACTTCAAAACGGACCAGATTCTAACCCACTAGATGTGTTTGGTGCAAACAGGATAAAATGTACCACATGCCTGCGGTTAAATACTGGATCTTTAATGCTGTGGGCCTTTGTTTTTGCTGGAGGTCCTGGACAACTTGTTCAGATACATGGCATCATGCATTCTAGCAAATACCAACAAATCAAAAAAAAATAAAATAAACCTGACGGCTTCAGCTACAATTCTTATACTGGGCCGTGTTTGGATCTTCCACCAGGACAACGATCCAAAAACAAACATCAAAATCAACACAAAAATGTGTAACTGAGCACAAAATGTAGCTTTTGCCATGACCGTCCCATACCCTGACCTGAACCCTATAGAAAATGAGTGGGCTGAACTGAAGAGAAGAGGCGCCAACATGGACCTGTGAATCTGAAGGATCTGGAGAGATTCTGTATGGAGGAATGATCTCTGATCTCTGGTCAGGTGTTCTCCAAACTCATCAGACATAGGAGAAGACTCAGAGCTGTTCTCTTGGAAAAAGGAGGTAAAATAACAGGGAGCCAATTACGGCCAGCATGTTTTGGAGAAAAGCATTTATTTCATAATGTGATCACTGACCAGAAATGTTTCCAGGGGACCCCAATAAGTGACAAACCCGGCTGGGATGTGCTTATAGCTCGAAGTCTACATTTTTATTTTATTTTTAAACTTTTTTTGTGCAAAACATAAAGATATGACATGTTTATGACATATAACTTATACAATATGTTCAATGTCATCAGATACATAAAAAACCCCGAAACCTAAAAAAGAGAGGGGGGGGGGGGTAGCTATTATTGAATCTATACATCAGTTACACAAATTGAGTCATGTTATGTTTAAATAAGTTTAGTTTAATAAGAAACGTTAGGTAATGCAGGATCCAAGAAGAGACAGCAAGTTTTAAAGTTGATACACTCACACACATATAATGCATATTTTAAAAACATTTTTTGTATAAAATGTATATTTATTAGCAAAAGTTATGTTAACAGAAATAATAAGACATTTCTAATTCTTCTCGTAAGAACAGCTATTCAACAGATGGACACTGCGCTGCATTGTCATGGGAACATCCCAGGTGAAAATAATGAGGAAAGTAGGCCTACTGTCTTTCGTTGTTCCCTTCACCAAGTGCGTTCCAATCGGCTACATAATGGCACAAAAGTGCTCACTCCAAAGTCCCCACTTCAAGGGCTCTGCTCTTCGAGTAGGGGATAGGGATTCTCACAAGCATGCCAGCCAGGCGGGTTCGTCGCTTATTGGGGTCCCCTGGAAACATGTCCGTTGTAGTCTGTGCTATATGCAGCGCGTTTCTGTATTTGGTTGTGTTGTGAACTTTTGCAGCATGTTGTGAGTACTTGAAGCACACTTGTGTTGTAAAACTGATGAAGATGTTTTCTTAATTTGGGGGTGTTTTTCTATTTGCATGCTTTCTTCAGTCGCAGCACGTTGAGCTCTCTCAGGCACAACTTCACCGTGTTTAACTTTGTTTTTGATTAAATAGTTGTAGCCTAGCCTTAAGCTTGCTGAGAGACTTCTTTCAAAAACATTAAAAGCATCTTTGTGTGCGTGTGAATAATATTTTTTTAAACGTGTAAGTAGCTAGGCTACTAGTTCCTGATCAAGGAATAAATGTTAATGCGGCTTGCCACCTGTACAGTGGCAAGATCGCAGCAGATATGTAAAGCCGACCACACATTTCTTCAAATAAAGCCTTGGCGACGTATCTCAGGTCTACTAGATGTCAACTGCTAGACAGATATATCAGAGAACTAGCTGACCCAGGCATTGGTCGATTTCGCAAGACATTACCAGCGGCGTCGGAGCGCAAAGGAGGAGAGAGGCAGCAGCAGCATCAGTAATCAGACTATAGGACGCTCTACCTCCTCAGCTCCCTCCCAACCGCACGGCTAAGGCGGATTCAACTGCAGCACTTGGGGGAACGTATCGCTGGATGTGGGTGAAGACTGTGTGAATGCGCGTGTGGGATAGCGAGATCTGCTCATCCTAACCCTATGCGCCTTAAGAACGCTTTCCAATCTGGCGGGTTCAGGACCGAGGCAGGTGTAGCGGCGAGGGCGCATCCATGAGCGTCTTCTCCCGGGACGGCATGTTTTTAATTTAACCGGATTTGTTGAACAGACTGGGGAAGAGGAAAGGCGAGTTCGGAAGTTTTGATGCATATGATCACAACCACCATGATTTTTATGATTCTCGGTGCTTCAGTTGTCATGGTAAGACAATTTAGTCTGTCTAAGCACTTCATAATTGTGCATTTCTGTCATTCTCTGAGTGAAATCGGGGCTTAATGAGAGAGTGGACCGCTGAAAGTCCGTTTAAAAATCTAATTAAGACAGCACAACCGTACTTGTGTGTATTTCTGGCTGATGTGGAAATGTAATGTGTATTTTCCCCTGCAGTGGTCACAGTACCAGGTCATGTAGCGGTTGCTGTGTTCCAATACTGCTTGTCATGTCCCGGTTGACTCGAATGGTTCTTTGCAGGCGATAGCGTGTTTAATGGACATGAACGCACTCCTGGACCGCTTTCACAACTACATCTTACCGCATTTACGAGGGGAAGACCGCGTCTGTCATTGCAACTGTGGAAGGTAAAAAACAACCCAAACGTTAATGAATCGCATTCTAGCACGAGATACAGAAATTGATACGTTTCCCATCTATTACAAACAGCTCAAAGGCCTGAGCCATTATCCAGCACCCGAAAAACACTGTTTTCCATTTCATTTCATTTATCCAAATGCATATTGTCACATTAAGGCCTTATATGTGCATTCGTGGCGGGGTTTGTGGCATCATTTTGGGCGTAATTCGAATGGTTTATTATTGATACTGAGCAGATGCTGTTGCTTTGCGTCGGTGTTTCAGTATGAGAATTCCCCTTGATTTTTCTGCTTGTATATCTATTCTTTCTGCGTATCAAGGTGTGATTTTTCTCCAAGCACAGCCAGAGATGTTGTTCTTTTGGGCTCGTGTGTTGGCCACACAATTACGTTAGTATTATTGAATGCGATTTTAATGCAGAAGGAGAAGGTAATATTGATATAATGCAGTTTTGTGATGTTTAGTGTAAAAAAATTGTTTGGACAAAATTGTAATATTTTATTTACATACAGATAGTCTATATTTTATATATTCATACGAAACTAACATACACCATACATTTATTTATTTGTTTACAAATCGACTATTTTGAATTGGATTTGGCTAATACATTTCTTTTTTATATTGAATACTGACGCTTGACTTTTGGAGTTTCTGTTCAAGCTACATCTGTTGATTATAAGTTGTTGGTGTAAAAACATCTGAGGGTAGTAAATAAGTTCAGATCATAATTGTTCATGTTTTAACACCTTAAAACTATTGGTGGAGATCTGTTAATCACAGATTTAACTTCATAAATTCATGTATACCATTTCTCATATTCCAAACATAGAGTAGTTCTGTTAGGACCAAGAGCATTATAAATGGGTCATGGTCACTGAAAACCTGCTGTCCTTATTTGCAGAAACTAGGCATTTTTCATGAAACCTAAAACCAATTTATAACAGAGATACCACATTGTCATTATTTGTGTTGATCATTGTCATGACATTCTCAGGTGCATCAGAGTCAATCTACTCATAAAGTCTTTTGACATCTGCATATTTCTGCCTATCATTATCAAATGTGCAAAACATGAGCTGTCTAACTTCCTTCACATGACATGGATCAATATCTGTATGACTGTATGACACTGTTATAGTATTTTCCTCTTAACTCTATAAAATGAGAGGCCAAACTAATTATCGGACATTTTAAAGACTCACATGTAACATATTAAAACAAAAATAAGTATTTATTTGACTTTTGAGGCATTATGTAAGGATCAAGGTTGCATGTAAGTTACATCCAAACTTTATGCATGAATACTACACAACAAGAAGTTACCCATATAAGTCTTTTTTTTACCCTTTTCTAAGACAGTTGCTTATAATTCTGTTAAATTATAAAATTAAACTCTTAAATTTTCCCACAGACCTCAATAAACATCACAAATGCACAAAAACTGCATTATTTGTAACAGCTGTGTGCCAAACCACGTTTAATGCATGTGTTCCAAGACAACAAACCCAGCTTGATTGAGCTCAGTTGGATCCAAGTAATATCAGTACAGAAAACACATTTTTTCCTCTCTGCTGAGAGAGTTATTAAAGCAATCTTTTGTGTAATAATATGTCCTCATTGCCTATCTCCTCATTCATTGTTTTCCTTTCTTATTCTTTCATGTCTGTTTGCCTGAATGTAAACCTCTAATCAGAGTTTTCCCCTCTCTTCCTTAGGCATCATGTCCACTACGTAATTCCATATGATGGAGACCATTCGCTCGTGGACTCATCTGAGAATTACTTTGTGAGTGACAGTGTGACCAAACAGGAGATGGACCTCATGCTGGGGCTGTTGCTGGGCTTCTGTATCAGCTGGCTGTTGTTGTGGCTGGATGGAGCTTTGCACTGTGCTGTGAGGGCCTGGAGAGCCAGTCGCTATTATGGTGAGTGGGAAGAACATTGTAACCAAGAGTGTATGGAGAGCATACATGTGGATAGATGTAAAGGACAAAGGATATGCTTGTAGGATCTATGCAGACCAGGATTTGGTTACTGAAAATTTAAATAGAGCTTCTAAAGAGTAAGTGAGTATTCATGCATTTCGTTTTAATGCATCAAAATCATGTTTTCTTCCATTACGTGACAATTTATTTAATGTTATGAAGAGACATTTTTACAATGATGCTTTTTGTTTATTTGATGTTTTGGTAAGCGTGATCATTTTGAGGTTGAACGTGGTTGTTTCCTTGCTCAATAAATGCCATGTTTTATGTGCAAGATTTAAATGGATGTATTCAGGTACTAATACTGCATCTCAAAAACTAAAGAATTGACGTCAAACGCTTTACTGTGAAGAACAAGTGCCTTAAATGTTAGTGACAACATGAACACAGCTTGTGCTCATACAGCTATTAAAGTACATTAGCTGTGTCTCAAAGAGTAAAATATTAAAATTAAAACAATGAGAGTAAAAACTGTAAATTTGAATTATTATATAAATGTTTTAATTAAAAAACCAGATCAGCTAATCTCACTATGATTTGCAGTTGGTGTGTTAGAGTGATACTATACGTGGATTTGTATGGGAGTAAATCCATATACATTTCTAATTCCTTTTTTAAAATGTGTCCCACTGTATTGGTTTTATGTTAATAAACGTGTCTTTTTCCAAACACGCCCAAAATTCAATTTTCTGTCCCCAAACATTTACACACCTACATTTTTCATTTTCATCAGCTGTCAGCGCTCTCCTTCTGCCCTGTTATTATCAGCCCCAGTAATGAATGAAGATGAAGACTGTGGCTGCAGAAATCAACAGCAGGTTTTCACTCAATGTAACTGAATCCTAGGCAACACCGCAGTTGTTTATAACAGTTGTCTGTGGTCCTTTGTGAGTAAAAAGGTACATAAGCTGTGTTAAAATGGAATGCCTTTAGTTTTAATATAATTAGTGTGTTCATGGGATGAACTTATTGGATGATAGTTATTGTGGGCCAAGGAGAGTGATAGAATAAAAATGCTTTGAAGAACTATATATATATATATATATATGAGAGAAAGAGAGAGAGAGAGAATTTATACAATCAATTCCTACCCGAGAGAATAGAAAATATTTATATACAATTCATATCAAATACACATCAAATCAAAGATCAATAAACATTAAAATCAAATCATTTAAAAAATGTACAAACTGTAAACTCTTATTAATAATTTTACACTTATAGCACCAAAACAATTCAAAAGACTCAGAATTTCGTTCAATTATTCTTTTCCTAGTGTCATAAATTGCCTTTTTTTTGTTTTTTGCTTGGCTTAATAGGAAATTCAGCAATTGGTAACAAAATCGATGTCTTCGGGCATATGAAACCACGATAAGCATTTTCCAACGATAAAAAGAGAAATAGGGATTATAAAGTGGCCACTGCTAACAAGGGAAATAAATAAATAATAAATATTTGAATGTTCAGAAACGGAATGCATCAGTTGACCAAACAGTATTTCAGAGCGCTGTGTACTGTGCAAAATATTATTCACACAAAAATAAAAATTCTGTTCATTTATTCACCCTCATGTCATTGCACAGCCATAGGAGTTTGGTTGATCTTTGAAACACAAAGTGTTTATATGTGAACAAAAGCCTATTAAATGTGTTCATCATATAAAGCGATCATATATCTTTACAAGACTTGGATTAAACTGCTCAATTCATATGGATTCATTTTATGACGCCTTTACTACCCGTTTGGATCTTCTAAGTTTTGGTTGCAATGACTTTCATAGGAGGAACAGAAACCTCAGGTTTAATTACAAATATCTTAATTTGTGTTTCAGAGGTTAACCAAAGTCTTATGGGTTTGCAGCGGCATGAGGGTGAGTAAATGATGACAGAATTTTTTATTTGGGGTGAACTATCCTTTTAATTCAGCCCACAAAATATATTTTGACTTTGATTCAGTTTTATTATTTTTTTGAGTAGCACAAACACAAAATGGTATCTCCATATGATATGACCTACTGAAAAATAACTGGGGATCCCCCTCTAGTAAAGCACACCACAGCTGTGAAATTGTGACGTTGATGGCAGGTCAGCATCATTTAGCCTCACCAAGATAGAGAGTGAAGGTGAGGTTGATGGAAAGGAAGGTGGAAGAGAGATGCTCTCATGCCCCCACCCCCACCAGCACACACACACACACACACACACACACACACACACTCTCACACAGAGAGATTTGCACCCTTGCACTGTGCAAGTGCTATAAATAGACAAAGAGCAGCTGGAAAGAGAAGGCAAGTTGGCGAGACGTGTAAGCGTGCAGTCATACCCACACACACACAATACATATACAGTGCACGGAAGCACATACCTTGAATTTTAGCTCACATTTCCTATTTTAGAATTGCTCTGATTGTTTGGTGTTATTTTTTTACCCCCTTATCAATGTCAGCTTAGGAGTGATATATCTGCTAATTTATTTATATCGTAATAACCGTGTAAAAAATGTCTAACCCCCCAACTTAAAACTTTGAATTTCAGATTAAAAAAATTACATTTCAGAATTTCACTTGGGCCAATTGAAAAATTTAGATGTGACCACTGACCAGTCACTAGAAAACTTAGAGTTGGGCAGGCTAGATTTTTTAACATACAGTGAATGTATAAATAATATTTAAATATTTAGCTTTTTTAGCTTTTTAATATTTAAAAAAATATTTGTTGTAAGATATATATATATATATATATATCTTACAACTGATTTGAAATAATGAAATATTTTAAATGTATTTTAATTTAAATTACACATATTTATTATTAAATATTATATATTTAAATTTATTTAAATTGAAATTATGAATATGTATACATCTTTTAAAAATAAAATGTTTTATATATTTAGCTATATATACAATAATTTTTATTTCAGACAAAAAATATATGATAACTGATTTATATTGTCATAATAAATGTTGTACATATTTATATTTTCATACATTTGACAGTACACAATACTTATATGAAGACCTCTGATGCAAAAGGCTCTAAAAGCCACCTCTGTCAAAAATGAGATAATAATATTGAGTGAATACTCAGTCTCCGCACATATAGACTTTCATCAAATACTTTAAACTTCAAACTGCTAAATCCCAACCTCATTCCATTCAGAAACGTCAGTACTTAGGTATAAACTATAAGAGCCTGATGAAAATGTTAATATTAAACGAAAAGTAGAAAATAATTATCTTTTTAGATTTGAATAAAAATGCTATTAATTGTAATAAAAGTGATTTTTATGAAAAAACATACAATGCTTGTAGGATCTATGCAGACCAGGATTTGGTTACTGAAAATTTAAATAGAGCTTCTAAAGAGTAAGTGAGTGTTCATGCATTTCTTTTACTGCATTAAACTGAGCCCTTCATTGAACTCTTGATCCTTTCTTTTGATCCAGCTTTAAGACTTAAAAAAACCTTATTCACCATCTTCCTCTGTATACCCTTCACGACAGTAGTGGATGGCATACCCATGGAATGCTATAAATAACCCCCCCCGGTCCCCCATCGCCTCCCTCTCACACACACTGACACACTTCCAACAGGGCTAGTTGTGAGGGGCGGGGTTGTCTGAGGAACTCTCTGAGGTTTCGTTATACCTCCACCCCAGCCTTCATGTCTGGACCCACATGCTGTTTCCATTAACACGTTGTGTAGACATGCTGGTTCATTGTAAGATTCTTAACCATCTCATTAGCTTATAGTTATTATAAGAATGTATAGAACACCACAGTTTGACAGAAGCTAACGCGTTTTTCTCTGTGCCGCTCACAGATACCCCTTCCTGGTCGTGGTTGCCACAGTTCTGCAACCTTCGGGACCTCCGTAGACGCGCACAGCTTCGGCAACTGGAGGATTCCAGCGGAAACATGGTTCACATCAAGCAGAAGCTCTACCACAATGGCCATCCCAGCCCCCGTCACCTCTGACTTTAACAGCAGTTTTCCTAAAACTGCTCCATTACCAGCTGCTGCCTCAGAGACCCACTTTAATCGTTCCACTACATCTTTTAGACCTTCAAGAACCACTCAAGTATTTGCTAAAAGAAGAAAGAACACTATACGCTGACCCGTTTCCACCTTCGCCACATTTGGCGGATGATTTAGAAAGGTTTTTTTCTGTACAGGCATTTTATTTTCAATTGCTGATTCTAGGCATGCACTTTTAGAATGGGGGAGGATGCAAGAAATGGTTTTATGAGACAACAATGGGAGTCAATTCATGTTTATTCCTTGCTTTCCCCTCCACCTTTTTTAGCTTTTTCATCAGGGTATGACTTTTTGGGAGGGGGGGTGATAAGCGGTTGGGAGGGCGGAGGTCATGGTTTTGTGATAGTATAGTTAGAGTTAATGATCATGTAAATAGTTATACATTTTGTTTTATGGGATTTAAATGGACACGGGAGTAGGAGGTAACTGTATAAAAAGAGGGGAAAACATAAAGAGGAAAGAATTTTGAATGCAGATGTTATATGTGAACTTTTTGGATGGATGAAAAAGAGATCACTCTAAAAAAATTGGTTAGCTTTGTTACTATGTGAAATAAATGAATGTATTCATTTTATCTGTAAATAAAGGAGAGTGCAGGAATGTTGAAATGGGCGGTCAGGGCTCTTTTTGCTGTTTTGAACGTCATGTGTGAGAGAGCCGCTAGCACTTTCCTTGTCTTCCCTACACTGTGTCCAATAGCCCTTCCAGGTCTGCGTTTAAACTTCTCCATACTCAAACAAGAACAACCAGCCTGCCAGCACAGAGAGCCCTGACCCAATTTTCTCTTCCTCTTTATGTCCAGACATTGCTGTTGTGAAGATAAAATGTCTGTTTTATTAAAAGTGCCATTGAAGCACAACAGTGACCCCTAGTTTTGGGATGTGTCTTTTCTCAACGACTGAAGGTGTACATAGGACACTCACCCAGTCACTACACTGACTGTTCCATTGCTAATATAAAAACAAAATAGGAATTTTTAGAATATTTATTTATACTCGTAAAAAATAATAGCCTGTCAAATGAAATATTGAATGGAACCAAAACCTGTGGTAACATGAATGAAACTAATGAGAACTGCTGAACTAGAGATCTAATGCTGTATTGGTAGAAAAAAGGGTTATGAGGAAGTAATACACTCTCAGAAAAAAAGGTACAAAAGCCGCCAGGGCTGTGCCTTTTCAAAAGGGAAAACTTTTGTCCATTTTAGGTACTAATATGTATATTTTAGGTGCTAATATGGACATTTAGGTGGTAATATTTGTACTATAATGTACTTTTTAGGTGCTAATATGGACATTTAGGAGCTAATATGTACATTTTAGGTGCTAATATGGACATTTTAGGTGCTAATATGTATATTTCAGGTGCTAATATGTACATTTTAGGTGCTAATATGGACATTTAGGTGCTAGTATGTACATTTTAGGTGCTGTTATGTACATTTCAGGTGCATGTACATTTTACTATTATGTACACCCTTTAGGTACTTTTGTAAAAGGTACAGCCCCAGGACAGCTTTTGTACCTTTTTCTCTGAGAGTGTAGATACACTTTTAAGAACAACTTATATCAATTTAGGCTAAAAATCTAAACCAAACACCATATAGGCTACTAAAAATCAAGAATAAACACCATCTTCTGAATATAGCAACCTAGAAATAAATCAAGTGTACAGTAAATGTGCAAAAAAGTTTGTGTACAAAAAATTAAGTGTACAAAAATTTTTGGGTGAACTATCGAAAACATTTTATCAATACAAATGTTTTTGATGCTTACTATCTTTGTGGAAACCAGGCAACTATTCAAATGTCTGAGGTAAGTAAGATAAAAAAAGAAAGAAAGAAATACTTTTATTCATCAAGGCAAAAATGACAATAAAGACATTTACACTGTTACAAAAAATATATGTATTTTAAATAAATGTTGTTCTTTTTAACTTTTCAAAAGGATGTACCACAAAAACATATAGGAATACATTTGAGATATTTTAAAATTGAAAACAGTTATTTTCATAATATAAAAAAGAATCATTTTAAAAACCCCACAAAGATGGCATATCAATCATAAAGAATTTTATTTTATTTTATTGTAAAAATGTAGAACGTTTTCTGTGATGGTAGAATATACTGTACATGTGCAGTATAAAAATCATTATCCCTAAATGGAAGGTCCCCATAAAACATGAACATTAACTTGATTGAGGGCAGTATTTAAATCACAGATTTAAATAAAATCCTTCTTTCTCATAAGGTCAATGGGATTTGTTAAAAGCTCTTCTGGCAGAAGTGGGACTTGCTTGACAGATAACCACTCCACTTGAGGCCTGAAGAAGATTGCTTTTGATTCAGGAGTCACTGCTGGTCTCTGGGTGGAAATGAGACGAGGCCGATGAACACCATCCCAGTTTTACCTTGAGGGATATTTAAATGCTTCTTCAACCGTAATTCTTGATGTCTCTCGTACAAACAAGGGCAATCCCACTCAAGATCCATTCACATCCTGAGAAGTGAGAACTACACATAAACATAATAGATATAAATACAGGTAAGCAGGTTGTTAAGGCAATGGCATTGTGGCATAAAATCCATGCTGGCATAAGGCTTTGCATAATCTGGCTCCTCAGTACTTGACTAATCTATTAATGTCTTACACACTTGGGAACTTGGTTGTTCCCAAAACATGGCTTCGTTCTAGGGTTAATAGAGCATTTTCTTCATTAATGCTCCTTAAGCTTTGAAATTCTCTCCCGGCCGACATCAGGGAAGCAAATACATTAGTGACTTTTAAATCTCTTCTCAAAACATTTTATTTTAGGAATGTTTTAACTTGATTATTATTATTATTTTTTCTACTAAAAGTAGCCTCTGTTGTTATGTTTACGCTTTGAGAAAGCAACTTTTAAATGCGCTATATAAAATAAATGTATTTTTATTATTTATCTTGTAAGGTACAGATTGTGGCCCTTGAAACAGCTTATGTTTTTTATGGATTTTTGTTTTCTCTATCAGAAACTTTTTCAGTTATTTTTATGGGGGATCCACATAGCAAATGTATTAACATAAAAAACAAAACATAGATTTTTTGGCCATATAGAACACTTTTTTTGGCCATATAGAACAACCATAACTTTCAGGGTTCCCTTTTAGTAAACAGTTCATAAAATAGGCAAACCATTAGTTCCAATAAAGAAAATTTAAATAATTTAAAGAACTTTTTTTCCCCACGATAGAGAACCTTTTTTATGGATGGTAAAGGTTCTTCGTGGAACCATAAATACCAATAATGAAACCACGATGTTTTCACATTATTTCCAGACTTTACACTTACACTTTGACCGTGGGATGACTGAAAGACGAAAGAAGGTACAGTTACGTGTCCTGTTGTCGCTGTTTATTGATGGACACATTCACGCCCATATAGGCTACGTTAGGAGGAGGAGCATATTGGTCCTTACATATGTGTAACGTTAACGGTGGAAGCGGGTGGAAGTCGCTGCTGAAGTCACAAAGCTAACGACACAGAAGTGGAAGATGTTCGCGTGCACTTCTCTTTCTATCAGCTCTGTTGCTTTTCGCAACTGTAGGACATTGGTGGTAAGCTGTTTAAAAGTTCTTACCTGTCAGCATAATAAAAAGAAGAAATGCGCGTGTACGATGAGTAATGTTTGATTTTGTGAGACCTTCGTGCTTTATAAGGAACTATATATAATCGAATATACCGAGTTTATTAGGCTGACCTGGTTAGCTGACAGATCCAGCGTTAACCTGTATTTACTCATGTTACTTAAACACTGTCTTCAGTTGGGTTTCTCTTTTCTTATTATGTATGTACACTACAGTGCATTCCAATGTGAGTTGAGTAACAGCGTGATGTAACTGTCATCTCGCGCACTTCTCCTGTACACCTAGAGGCGGCGCTGTGAAGCTCAGCTTAACTATGACTCGAAGTGAGGCTGAAAGCTTTTTCAGACCAAAGACAGAGAATTACATATATTTACATACTCTACAAAGCCATGAGATTACTACAGTCATGTGCTTGTGTGATATTTTAATTTTACTTCATATAATTCAAAGTTGTAGGGATGCTATGTGTTTTATTTTTTACTATAGCATGTTGTTTGTGTAATAATGTCAGTAAACTCATAAAGTATCACCCGTCTAATGTTGACTGATCTTTTATTGTACTCTCTCTACCCCAGCTGGTGCGATATGCCCAGACAGCAGCTGCCCCTGCCCCAGAGCCAAAAATAAAGAAATTCCAGATTTACAGATGGGACCCTGACACATCTGGTGACAAGCCCCGCATGCAAACCTATGAGGTTAATTTGAACACGTAAGTACACCAATATTTACATGAATGTTAGACATTAAGCACAAATATTGGACTTAAAGTAAGGAACAGTTCACCAATAAATAAATTCTGTCATCATTTACTTATCATTTACTCATTCTAGATGTGGTCCAATGGTTCTTGATGCCCTCATCAAAATTAAAAATGAAATGGACCCGACACTCACCTTCAGACGCTCATGTAGAGAGGGTAAAGGAATATATAAGAAATATATACATTTAAATAGAAAGAAAATGTCTATTTTTAATAATAAATATGAATAAACTGTCCTATTAATGTTACATTTTGACAGAATGTTTGTTTGTAATTTCTCTGTATATAACTTTACAGGTATCTGTGGCTCATGTGCTATGAATATCAATGGGGGCAACACTTTAGCCTGTTTAAACAAAATAGATACAAATACCAGCAAAGTGACAAAGATTTACCCTCTGCCTCACATGTATGTTGTGAAAGATCTTGTGCCTGTGAGTAAACCACTGTTCACTGAATATCCATCTGAAATAAATCATAAATAAATACAATGTACCTGTATTTACTTTATAAACTGTTGTTTTAGGATATGAGCAACTTTTATGCACAGTACAAGTCCATTGAGCCCTTTCTAAAGAAGAAGGACGAGTCAAAGCAGGGGAAAGAGCAGTACCTCCAGTCAATCGAGGACCGTGAAAAGCTGGTTCGAGACCTTTTGCTGAATATTTTACTGATTCTGTCTGTGTGAAGGGTGATTTTTTTTTTTTAAACGCACTCTTCCTAATGCTCATAGGATGGCCTGTATGAATGCATTCTGTGTGCTTGCTGCAGCACCAGTTGTCCTAGTTACTGGTGGAATGGAGACAAGTACCTTGGTCCAGCTGTGCTCATGCAGGTATTTATTTTCCTCTCTAGAATGATTGTGTTGTTTAACACAAGAACTCTTGCTGATTTGTATTGAATTCTGCAGGCGTATAGGTGGATGATTGATTCTCGGGATGACTTCACCGAAGAGCGTCTGTCCAAATTACAGGATCCTTTCTCCCTCTACCGCTGTCACACAATAATGAATTGTACAAAGACATGTCCAAAGGTAGGCCATCTTCCCATCAAAATATAGCCACCCTTCACTTTGATGGACAAGACTCTCTGTCGGTCTAAACGTTTGTTTATGTTTAGTCTCTCCCATTTGTTACATTTAATCTGTGTTGTCCTCTCACCTGTTATAGGGACTCAATCCCGGAAAGGCCATAGCAGAGATTAAGAAAATGATGGCGACTTACCAAGAAAAGAGATCGCCTGCAGTCTGACTCGCACATTCTGGAAATATAATACTTAATGATTTAAATTATTGTGTAAATGTGTAAATCCAGTATGGAGTTATGCTAATATGGGATATTTAGTTTTTACTTTGTTTGATAGTGGAGACCTATAGTTACTGTTGATGTAAAACAAATTCATTTTTCAAAAAATGCCTTAATATGACATATAATAACATAATTTGTCCTGTGTCTTTGTTTTTGTGTGGTAGATTCCTACTGTACTAGTTCTGTCCTATAAAACATACTTAAATATCTGCATGTTTAAAATCACAGCCGTTTGTTTAGAAATGATGTGCTGCCTAGGATGGTAAGGCATGTTTTATAGTAGAGAGGAAGATGAGAATTGGATGCTTTTTCAGAATAAAATAGATTTTAGAGAAGGTCATGTCTCGTCATGTCCTCCAGATGGCAGTGTTGAATGGGTGAGTTGACAAAAGAACGTAAAGGAAGAGGGCCTATGGCGTCACGTCACGTTCTTAAAAATGACACTTGAAGCAGAAACTGTTAGTTTCTGCGGTTGTGTAATGAAATTATGACCATAGAGTTAAAGTGTGTGCTTTAGCACTCACGTTTTAGATCCTATATGGATTCACCAGGTATGGGTAAGTGCAATTCGTCTGTGCATGTCAATATTGAATTAAATATCACTAAATATATCACTGTCGCTTGATCTCGTGAAGTCGTCTTGGCTAAAATGAATTCAAGAATTTGTGTATTTATTTACATTCTGTAAACTTCATTCGTATATGTGAATAAAAAAATGTAGATATCCGACATTTATTCAGTTGTTCTGATTGTTCAATGTCATCAGAGCAGTAGACTTTGCTTGTGATAATCTCTTAAACTGTCATTGTATCTGTTTTCATCTGTGTCAGTTTTAGTATTTTGGTCAATGTATGACATCAGAAGGTTAGATTAATTAGGATTTTTAAACTAATCTAAATGTGAGTTTTCCTGATGTGGCGTCTGTGATAGGGTTGTTGTTCTGTGAGTCGGATCTTTTCATTGAATCGATCGAACGGCTCAGCTTTGTACGAGAACCGCTCGGAACGATTTAACTTACCGATGGTGGTAACTTACCAAAGTTACCACCATTAGTTATGTTTAACTTACCAAAGTTATGGTTAACTTACCAAAGTTGGTTTTAATTACACAATGATGTTTTTAAACGTGCAAAAACTTTGTCGGCTGAGTTGTAAATGCATTTTTTAGGTTCTAAAGTAATTTGTTTTCATGGACTGAGTCGAAAAAATCTGAACTAAACAAACACTTTTTTCGAACACTAAACAAATTATTAAAAACTGAAAACCTAATAAATATCAATATGTGGCTACATATGGCTTGATTGAAACGGGTTTAAACTACGTCGGAATGAGGTGATGTAATTATGTTAGAAAAATAAATTAACGTTAGTCGATTTGAACCGAATCTTGCTGTCTGTTTGAAAGAACCGATTCGTGTAAGTGAGTCGGATTTGCATTAGTAGGCCTAATTTACGCGTGATCCCCCTACCCCCGCTACGCCACCCAAACCCAAACCAAAACCAGTTTATCGGAGAGCTCACCTGCACACAGGGAAGTAGGCGGAGCTGTCGAGTTGGCTGCTTACCTTACCTGAACAGGAGCATATATCTCACTTCAGGTTTACTCTAATGTTGTGGATATTTCATCAAGTAGAAGCCGTAATGTAAACTAGACAAATCTCGTGGTGAATGTTTTTGTTGGGAACTTGCATCATAGAAAAGACCAAAGGGTGGTAAGATAATTGTTCTGCCTTTCTTAAAAACAGCCTGTAGTTCTTCAACACGTAGCTATGATTTTAGATGGGATTCATTTATATTGTTGGAACTGACGGAAACAATAATTAGGCATAAGGCATACGATCGTTTGATCAAAGTCGTTTGATTTGAACTTGTTAAATAACTGGTTGAAATGGGCTGGGGCATCATGTTTCTAACACGTTGTTGTTGACTGCTGAGGTGTTGCTGAGTCTACTGAGGTGACAGAACCTGTATTTCATTCTCTGTATCATAAAAAGCCACTTCAAATAGCTCAGTATTTTGTTGTGTGTCTGTTGTATTGCACAGTTTCGGCTGGTACTTATTTTACTAACATAGTTAGTTAAATAGTTAGTAAATTAGCAAAATTATACTAACATAGATTGGCTATACCATTAAATCTTGGGATGCTAAAAAAAGTTTTGTCGTTTCTCACTTTTGTTTGAAGGAAGCATTTGTAAAGTGAAAGTCAGGCATTTTTGTTTGTGTAGAAAGAAACTTCAAGCAAGCAAGCACATGATCTGGAAAAAAAAAAAAGAAGTTTTGAAGAAGTTGATTCTTCCCTTTTACAATCCTCATTGACCTGGAAATACTCCAGGCTTCTCAGGCTTAACCTTCTCAAATACATCTTTACAAACCTTCTTCAAAACGGATGAAAGCAAAAAGCCATCTTATAATTTCTTTCTTCTATTACCAGTCTTTGTACTAAGAAAATGACTGGTGCTCAAACACTTTTGTGAAGTTCATATATGGCACCAGGACATCATGATCTTTTCAAAAGTGAGTCAAGAGACGATTTGCTAGAATGTTAATTACAGGATGTATATTGTTAAAAAAAGAATGTTAAAAGAATCTCGCTAGAAGTAGTAGGCCATCTAGTTTTTGCCTATTCTTCTATGAGTACTGTGAATTTGGACACCTCTTTTGTCATCTACTATATAGTAGGGAAGTATGTACTGTAATTTTGGACACAGCAATTGTCTTAAAGTCAGTATGAAAACCAAGTTGTGTTAGTCTTTTCTTTCCTATAGTGATTTATATCCAAGTGAAACGTCTTCTCGAACAAGAAAAAATCTAGTGCAGCACTTGATTTTGTTCATTGGGAATTGATTTAAGTTTGTGTTTTGTTATTGCTGTGTTGTCATGTGAGTGACAGGTTGCCCCGCTGGCTCATGCCAGTGAACATGTCATCGGAGTCTTGAAGTGTTTTCAAAAGGGAGGGTGAAGTAAATTTTATTAAAGATTACAAGGGCACAAATAATGTTGTGCACAGATAAATAATGTATAATAATTACTGCAATATTCCATACAAAAATAATAATTTTGATTTCATGGTGATTTGAATATTACAATAAATGTCGTACTCGTACCCCGTTGACATCATAGATAAATGCCAGAGTGTATTCTTGTATTTACAAAAAGGGAGTGTACACTGCATGGTGTTTGCATTAATGTCTTAGTGAACTTTAAGAGCTACTGCTCAACAGGACCACTTACGGATCTTGTCTTTTAGGAAGCTGTTGTCCGGGGCTGGATGATGCGTCCTCCCCAGACACAGAGCCCCTCATAAAGGATCCAAGACCCAAGGACCTTAGCACCGTCTCGCATATGGTACTGTTGGAAAAACACAAATGCGTTCCTTGCAATTCTAGAAATGATAATTTTCTAATCAAATGTAATGTGTTTTGTTTCTCAGGATGTTCAGGGGTACAGATGGGTGTGCTGGAAGGTGTGGTTGTGCCGCATTGGGGCGGTCTGTTCTGTAGGCCTGCTGCTAGTGCTCTTCAACTGGCGCCCTCGACTCGGCATCCTGGCCCGGTGCAAGTCCTGTCCCATTTCAATGGCGGATGTTTTGCTATTGAAGGTATTGTCTGTCTCCAGATGCAGACTGTCTGCTTTACGGAAAATTGAAATACAAATGGGAAAAGATTAAGAATGTACATTAAATCACAGTTTTGAGTTTTCCATAATACAGAGGGATATGTTTTTGGTTTGATTATGATAGGACCGATACGGACAGCAGTTTGTTGTAGACGTGCTTAAAGAGGAAATTGAAGAAGGCAGGTAAGACCCACAGTACATTTATTACTCGTGCTTCTCCTTTTTTCTATTTATGTGTTTTCTTTCAAAAAGGAACCAGCTTCTTGTGTAAAGCCATTCTTTGCTTTTTAAAATAACGTGGTAACTTGTTACTTGAAGGTGTAAACAAATATAATATATATTACATTTCACATTTAAATCAAAAGAAAATAATAACCATTTAAATGAGTTAATCTAATGTGAATTCACAATATTCGAATCCCTCTTTTTGCATTCACTCCATTTTCATAACAATTAAATACTTTCTGGTGTCATTGGTTTAATCTGGGGGAAAATGATATATAACTTAAATGGTAAAGTTTTTTGCTGTATATGCATTTAATCATTATATTAAAACATATTCAAAAATAAAATCCTCTATAATGTTTGTTTATAAAGCCATTTAACTATTTTATGTTGATCTCTTTTAGTTTGGAGTTTGCAGTAGGAGAGGCGGATGAGAATGAATGGAGAGACACCGTGCAGCTACATAGTGAAAAGGTAACATAAGGGCAGTTAAATTAGAGAGTGTTATGTATATTTCAGGTCTATCTGCTTGATCATATCATGTTTTGCTTCCATCTAGAAAACTCTGCTTAGATACTATGTGTTTGAGGGCATACGCTATATGGATTGCCAGGAAAGGATCCTTTTGCAAAGCAAGGTACTGTCTGTGTGTGTGTGTGTGTTTAATCTATAGCCTCAACATGGTTATATGATTATAAAGCTGAAATTGTGTGGTTGTAAACCTTTCTGTAGTATCCTCAATGAAGGCTGGACCTGCGCTGACCTGCATGGCCGACAGCAAGGACTGAGTCGAGCAGACCAAAGCACAAGGTCTGTGCCCTTTCAGTTGCTATATGACATGTAAATATAATTCATGCCAACCACAATCATTTTTTTTTTAACTCTGTCCTACAGAAAACAAATTTTTGGGCCCAATATCATTGATGTACCTGTGAAGTCTTACTTGGAACTTCTCTTTGAGGAGGTAGACCTTTTCTTCCCTAATTTCTGTATTTTAAATGCGCTGTAAAATAATTCTTTATAATTTTTATAAAATACTTTGTGAAAGATTGATATATTGATCCGCTCTCTTTCTATTTTCAGGTGCTCAATCCATTCTACGTATTTCAGGTGTTCAGCATCATCCTGTGGATCTCAGACAGATACTATTATTATGCTGCTTGTATCTTCATCATATCTTTAATTTCAATCGCTGTGTCCCTTTATCAGATCCGTAAGGTATAAAAACATTATTTGTACTACTTTTGAGCTCTTTTGTTTTAATGTGAATTCATATAATAACTAAGATGTTAATAATAATATGTCGTTTTTTGTCTCTGCAGCAAAGTACCACCCTCCGCAACATGGCCCGTTTGGTAGTGAACGTTACAGTGCGCAGGGACAATGGAGGTGACTTTTCTCACCAAATGCAGCAAGCAAAGTGGCGTTCTTCACAATGTTGGTTTGTTCATTGTGAAAACGTGTTTGTTTGTGTCTTTCCAGAGGAAGAGTGTGTAAACTCTGAAGAGCTGGTTCCAGGTGACTGTGTTTTGATTCCAGCTGAGGGTT